ATTTAATTTGGTTGCTTGCTTTTTGCTTCTTCTTCTTTTTCTTCTTTTGTTTGCTGTTTATTTGCTTTAATTACAACGAACAAATTCGAATCAAATTTGCGCTAAGTAATTCTTTAAACGTTTGAGTTTTTTATTTTTTTGTTTTAAAAACATTTACTAATTATATTTTTCGTTTTTTATTTTTCTAACACTGAACACTGAAGAGTCTTTTTTTTTTTTTAAGTTGAAATGTTTAACAATTATAGTTACTAAAGGACACAGAGACTAAAATATGCAAATTTTTAATTTAATATATTTTTTAAGCTAAGCTTGTAGTTTTGCGCTAATTTAATTATTTTTTTTTTTTTTTTTTTTTTTTTTTTTTTTTTTTTTTTTTTTTTTTTTTTTTTTTTTTTTTTTTTTTTTTTTTTTTTTTTTTTTTTTTTTTTTTTTTTTTAGTAATTCACTATATATTTTTTTTAATTTTCTAGTTTAAGCTTTAATTTTTAATTTATTTTTAAATATATTTTCTTTATTTTTCAGTTAGTTTTTCACTCACAATTTGCGCTATTTTTTTTTTTTTCTTTTTTATTAATTTTTTTTAGTCAATTTTTTTTATTGTCTCTTGTTAATGCACAAAATATTTAAAACACTTAAGTTTTCAATAAATTTTGATTTATTTTAGGAAAAGTTGTTTTTAATTAAAAACTTGTAATTGAAATATTTTTTATTAAAATAATACTGTAGTTTTTTGTTAAATAATTTTTAAAAAGTTTTTTAAGGAAATATTTTTCAACTTTTATTTTTTTATTTTGGAGTTTAAAACTCGTTTCTTTTTATTTAATTTATTTTCAAAATTTGCGCTTTTATTAAACACTCACGATTTTGTATTTGAAATACAATTCTAGGGACTTTAGACCTTTAGCCAATATCTCGTGTTGCTAGCGTTGAGCAATTGTTGTTGCTGTTGTTGTTGTTGTTGTAAATAATACTGGTGATTTGTTGATTTACGATTCTTTGCGGATTGCCCGGACAACGTTCAAAACACACTCAGTTCACAGTGCCTTCACTTTTCGCATCGACTATGGACAGAATGTACTCACAATATGAATATTACGTATACGCCACGAAATTAATTATTCAATTTTTGAAATTAAATTAATATTTAATTTTGATTTTATTTAATATTTTAAAATTTTTATTTGCTTTATTTTTTTGGGAGGCGCAAACACAAAATGGCGACTACTTGTCGGAACTCGACTGCTGGATCAACTGGCTCTGCTTGGCTTGGCTTAACTTGACTGGCTTTTGGCTTTGGCTTTGGCTTTGGCTTCAGCTTCGGCTCGGCTTTGCTTGGCTTTGGCGGCTCGCTTGCTGGCTGACTGACTGGCTGGCTGGCTGGCTGGCTGGCTTACAGTTCGCTTTCCGTTTTGCGAAAATGAGGAAAAGGCGTTTAACTTAACTTGACAATCGTCGAATGGATTCTGAATTTCTCATTGAGTAAGGTTGCATGTTCAACTTGTGCCCAGCCGTTTGGCAGCCAGTCGGCGCCAGCGTTCGGCTCCACCCGATGTGGCGTTCGTGCAAGCCGGCAAAAGCCGTTTCGCAGGACTTTGCAGAATCCACAAGCCGGCGCATGCGTTGCACGCACTAGGCGTGTGTGTTGCACGACTCCCCGCCGGCTACATTCAGCGGGCTGCACAAGCGACGGCGTCCTTAGCGACGCATGCAACGAGCGAGCATGTGTGTGGGAGCCAACAGTACAGAGAGAGAGACAGATGGAGAGAGAGACAGAGAACGGGAGAGAAAGAGAGAGAGAGAGAGGGAGCGAGCGAGCAAGTGAGTTAGGGCATAGTCGAGTTCAGGCAACACGTTTTTGGTTTCCTTTACGTTCGCGTCCAGCCCAATGCCGAGGCGTAACCAATTGAAATGCATCTCGGCCTACGCGAGCCGCAATTACCTTAACAACTTTGCGTTTGGTAATTGTCAACATTGAATTTAATCAGAAATTACGACGTGCTCTCCCATTCATGCCCTAACTACTGCCCAGCTCCATTCAGCTGCCCCAATCAAATATAATTGTATATATATTCGTGTATATATTTATTCTTGAACAACTTGCTCAAACTCAAATATCCTTCACTCACTCTGAAGTTTGAGCAGCAAACTCAAATTTTTGGTGGCCAAACTTAAACATGAGCTGGCGCATCGAAAATGCGGCAAGCGGGAGTAAAAGAAAACACGGCATGCAACAAGGTGAAGAGAGTTGCCAAGAATAACAACAACAACAACAACAACATGAAGAAAACTGCGAAGAGCTGCTTGGTCAGTTTTAGTTTTGAATTGATGGGAGAGAAGATAGAAGCGAGCGTAATCGAATGATAAACATTGAATAGTTGATGATATTAAATATGTACAGATATTTTATGATGTATTGTTATTATGATTAGGTTAAAGACTAGTTAGATAGATCTGTTTCAGTATATTTCATACAAGCTCATACCATTATATAAGGTATCATATGATTAAGAGAAAGAAATATAAGCAAATCGAAGTCTTCGTTAAAATTTAAGTAAATTGCCTACAAGAAGAGTCTACAAAGAGTTTATAAACGAGAATTTGTGCTGTTTGGATCATTTCAGAAATACACACAGACCATAAAAATGTGATCACATAAGAGCTCGTAAGTATTCGTCAAGTGCTTCTCAGAGTCCGCATATAAGACTAACGAGTCACACTGAGAAAAAAGTCAGAGTGCGACAATTTGAATTGACCTTCAATGAAAACGATTTCTCTGAGAAGAAATCGTTTCGTTTCTTCGGGTTTTTCTGTGTGTATGTRTTGGTATGTGAGCGAGGAGAACCCCGACAGAACTCGCTAGACATAACAGCGTGCGTGAGTGTGAATTTGTGCATGTGTATGTGAGAGGGAAGTAGTTTGCAAACACTTCTCCGTTATCCTCTACTTACTGCTCCTCATGGAGCGAGCGTTAATCGGATCGATCCCGAAACGACGATCTTTAAAGACGAAAACGGAAAGAACACGAATGTTCTTGCTTAGAGTGTGAGAGGGAGAGAACGAGTGTGTACGATTTTTTCCGTTTATCTCCGAAGCAGATATGGAATATGGGAATGATAAATCAAGCAGGAGTCTTAATAGCAATAGCTAACGAATTTTATTTATCGATTATGAAATCTGCCTCAAAAGAGCGCAGACTGAATGTTCATTGTTCATGATTTCTTTTACAGTTATTCACAACTAATAACTTACACTTTAACGACTCTAAAGCTAAGTTCAAATATTATAAGCCATAGACAATTGAAAGTCCAATGCTTTAAGCTTTCTCACAATCAGAATGATATATATGTACATATAAAGAACAGAATGATATATAAATTTATATAAAAAAGGTATGATATATATTTATATATGGAGACTGTTTTGGCTAGGTGAAAACTTCAGCGCTGACTAAGCGGGAATGTTTACAATTTTGTATTTTATATTCCGTTCTTTATTCTGCTTCTTTTTTTGCAGTTTTACATTTTTATTTTGATGTGGTCGGCATTGTTGTTCTTGTTGTTGTTGTTGTTGCTGAAAGCTATTTAAATGGAACGCTCGTGGAAAGCAAAAGCAACGCCATGCGGCCATTAGAGGATGCCAAATAGACGTCGCCACAAAGCAAAGCAAGGCAAGCAGTCAGAGCCTCAGCAGGACACGCAGGTGGCGCAGGAGGCGACGGCTGGGCGGGATGGCAGGGACCATGGCAATGCCTAAAACGCAGCCAGAGAGTTGCCCGCCGCATTGTGCGGCAACATTACTGAATAGTTTATAATACAAAGATATATATAGCTATATACATATATATATATACATACATAGAGGTAGTAGAGCTGAGAGAAGTTGGGCCGAACAGCTTACAGAATGTAAAACGGCCTTTGTGCGTATTTTTTAGCCATTTGCAGATGCATAAAATATGCCCGAGCATTATGCAATGAAATCTACACACAAATTAGGCAAAACAGCAAAAAGAAGAAGAAGAAAAAGAAATAATAATAGATAGAGAGAGAGAAAGAGAGAGAGAGAGAGGGAAAAAAGAAGAGCTGAGCCATTTTTTAGATTTATTTGAGTAATGATTGCAGGTAAGCTGGCAGCTGGCTAAGATTAGGCAAGCTGTGTGGCCTGCAAGTGTCGGAAATTGATATGCTGGCTGACTATGCGACTGTGTGTCTGTGTGTGTGTGTGTGTCAGTGTGACAGCAGCATAGAAATCCGTATCATTGCCGGCGCAAGGCAACAGCAGCGGCGGCAGCAGCAGCAGCAATTTTCCACTCAAATGGGCCAACGCTGCGTATGACACATGTCGATTGCACTGTGGGTGTTTGTGTGTGTGTGTGTGTGTGTGTGTGTGGCGCCCCCTTTCGGCCAAAAGCGAGACTATCGTGCCCTATCAGAAGTCTGAAATCAGTTAAAGAGGCAAAAGGCAATGCGGCAAAGGGGCAACGGGGCAGAGGGGCTAACGCCAACCGTTTTGAATGAATGAGCTTTGCGAGTGAATGAATGAGTGACTGCGCGGTTGCCAGCTTGATTGCTTGATTGATGCAGTGATGCATTTGATTGATCGAGTGATTGATTCATTGTGGAGCTGGCTGCGTACAAGCGACTATTTAAGCCATAAGGAGGAAACAAACATTTATTTTATATTTACGATTATTTACAGGCAGAGAAAAGGGGGAAAATGGGGATAACATAGAATATCCATAAATATCTACAGTTAACCTTTCACTCTTCGAAAACTCTATTGACCAAAATCAATTGATTTCACACAAACCCCAAATAGTAAAACAAGTTTGATATATCGATAACAGTATCGATATTAACTTTTAACAATTTTGTATATAAACGGAAAATCATAAAGCATGAAAATAATTACGTAGTCACATTAAAACTCAATATATCAACAAATTTATCGAAAATAAAGGCACACTAATTTCTATAAAAAAAAAAAAAACATTAAGCACTTACATTTGCATAATTCTGTGATCGTGGCATCTGCGGCGGCAATTGCTGTGAGTTCGGTGGCGCCCTCATGTGCACAGGTGCGCCGCCGCCATGTCCGTTTCCGCCCCCTACCACCTGCTGCTGCTGATGCTGGTGCTGGTGGTGGGGCCCGCCCATTGGCTGTTGATGCTGCGGTTGCTGTTGCTGTTGGTGTTGTTGGTGCAGCGGCGGCGCGGGGCTATAGCGTGGATGCATTGCAAATGCTGCTGCTGCTGCTTCCTCAATCAAATTCASGCGCGACGAATGCGACTGCAAAGCAAATGGCACATTAAACGTAACTGATAAGCAATAGCAAGATTGGGAAAGTGAGATGGACAAAGCAAATAAGCAAACGCAACAATAGCAACGTATAACAGTTGAAAGCAAACGATATGATAATTATGACACTTTTTGTCGGACCGGTGTCAATGATTTAGTACTAAATGCAAGAGCACGACTGCAACACTGGCACTGAAATGTGCAAACCACTACATACATACATGGTATGTAGATTTAAATGCTTGGCAATGCATTTATTTATTTATCTAATTTTATATTTATTTGCCTGCCTTATTTAATATTCACACTACGCTTTGCGTTTAGTAGCATTTCTGCAAGCACATCGGCAACACTGCATTTAGTTTCAAGCGGTTTGGGCTAGCTGTTATATTTTATTTCGCTCTACACGCTCTTCTGATTGCGTCGCCATGCATCACTTAATAAGAGCGAGAGCGACTGTCCAGATCATTTGCTCTCTGTCTAATTTGTAATTAATTGCAGCCGATTTATGCTTCGAAGGCGGCAACTATGTTGCTATACCATGCAGCATGTGTAGAATTTTATAATGCATATCATTTTCTTTTTATTTTATTTTTACATAGTACAAGCACACACACGGCTGAGTGACCAATGGTATGGCTTATAAATAGCTCACAGCCAAGAATTTTGCATTTTTATGGGGCCAGACGAATGACCAAACACACACACAGACACATATGTAAACAAATGGCCCAGACGTTGACCGGCAAAATTCAGCAACAATATTGACTTTGGCTATGCGCGTTGCCTATATTCTGTTGGTACTTTCATTAATTTGTTGCTTACGCTTATTATTATTGTTGCTTATTAAAAATACGAATTACAGTGCGCCAAAAGGACAATGACAGCGAGCAAGAGCGAGATAGAATGCTCAAGAGCGTAAGCGTATGTTGTTTGCTTGCTGTTGCTTGCTGACAGCTGCAGTCCGAACTGAACGAGAGAGCGTAAAAGAGAATGAGAGACGACAATGAGCCGAGAGCGTATGCCGGCAAAAGCAAAATGAAACAAAACAAAAAGAAATAGTAAAGCAAGGCAAAGCAAAGCACGCACAACAAGTGAAACACACGCTTGATTTTGCTCAATGGTTTATTTGATTAGATTACTTTGCTAAATATAGCCAAACACATTTATGTTTTTCTTTCAGGTAGTGTGCTTCAAACATTTTAGAAATATGCACAAACATAGACACACACCTACACACTGACACTAATTTTGCATGACTGTCAAGCAGTTGGAGAGTGCCACTGCCCCTCTGTTATTTGTTGTTGGCTTTTCGTTTGTTTTCCTGTCTGTTATTCTCGGTTGCTTTGTGCTGCTTATTTTGTAATTTTATGCAATGTTCAATACCTAAACTATTTGCTATCGAGTGCAATGACATGCGATAACAAAAACAGAAACAAATTTGAATTCGCTTTCAATTAGCTGAAAATTGTTAATTTGTTTAGCCGCGGCGAAATTGTTACGACAGCGACGTCGACTGCAACGGCAACGACGACGGCGACTGCATTAATGGTGGGTGGGATTGGTTTGGTGTATGCTTACTATTGAATGTCAGCTGTGCGCTGCTCTTGTTGCACGTTATAAGTTGATTACGATTACGAGATTGAGGCTTGCTCACACACACATGCACACAGAAGGCACTCGCGCGCGCCCACACAGACAGAAACTGAGAAATTGACTCGACCGCACTTCGCACTTGACTCCGAGCTGTTGCTGCTTGTTGATTGTTGTTATTGTTGTTGCTGTTGGTGCTACAAATTGTTTGGTTTGTTTTTTCGGTGCGGGTGCGTAATGAATTTTTATTTATGCAAAAATTTACAACGACAAAATACCTTGCGCAGCGAGCGAGCGAAAAAAGCGCAACACACACAAACCGACAACGGCGACAGCGAAACGAAATGTATGCGAAAAGGTGGTGGATGAGAAACGGCAAAAGCAAAAACAGTCGCGGCAAATGAGAGAGAGACCCAAACTGAGCGTTGAACAATGTGAGTGCGCTCAAACAAAGACAAAATTGTGTTTGCGTGCTCACTCACTTGCTCAGCTGCTGCTTGYTTGCTTGCGCTCTTTGTACACGCTCATTCTCTCTCCTTCTCTGTATCGGTTGCTACAGCTGTGGGGCCGGCAGCCGGCAAAAGCAGAAGTTTTGCTTTTGTCGTTGTGCACTTGTTGTTGTTGCTGTTTTGAAAAGGCAATCGGCGCAAATAGAAATTTAAATAATTCAACAAATAGAAATAGAAACTAGCTGCGCTGAGCTGATTAAATGTGTATGCTTGTATATACAACACATATGTATGAGTGCATATAAATGTGCATGGCTCTACTGATGCTGTATACAGCAGCTGCTGTGCAATATGGGGTGACATATCAACGAGCTTTTGGCTGGGGCCTTTGGCGGCATATTTAAAATAGGATCTGCGCATTCAATGCATTCTTTTGATTAAAATGAAAATCAAAAGCTTATAAAAATATTTGATTAATGTCAATTTAATTTTAAAATGTATGCTGCGTAGCAATTTAAGATTCTAACCTGATTGCGTTTAATCAAGGAAATCACTGTCAGTCATCTGCAGCTGTAATTGGGCTGATGCCTTTCTCATTTGACTTCCATTGTTTTGTAGAAAAGATTCGTATTGCCCATTACGTAAATACAGTCCGCAATAAAATGGAGGGCAAAGCTCTCGGCACAATTTCGCCAGAAACTGTTGAGACAGCAGCTCGGTGACATTTTGAAATATTTAAATAAAATTAATATTCTCAACAAGTGCGCAACATAAAAGTGCGACACCCACACATGAGCATTATCCCGGTCTACGCCTCCTATCCCCGGCCCGCATATCACCCCTCCAGCATCTACGTCATTGGCACATAACAAAGGACTAAAGGACTAAACAAATGATGCATGACGACAACAAGCAGAACAAGTGACACCCACTCTCTCTATGCCTCTCATACTCTCAGTCACACTCACACACATGCACACACACGTACAGTGTGTAAACAATGCTCTCTGCATATGCCTACAACAATAAATTACAACAACAATGGCGGCAACAAAGTCAAGCGAAATTTGAAGAATGAGCAAAATGAGCAAACAGCAGCAGCAGCAGCAGATGAAGTAGAAGGTGAAAGGGAAGGGAAATGGAACAGAGCAGAGAGACATGCAAAGAATTTAAATTTATCCAAAATATGCAAATTTAATGACACTATCTTGATATGCAAATGCCAAACGGCAGCAAAATAGAAGAAAAATGGCGTACCAAGAATAGAAAAAATGGAGCAAGAAATCAAAAATGCCAATACACTCACACACACAGACACACATATAGATTGTCACAGACACAGTCTTACGCGCATACAGTGGAAACACTTTCGCTAAAACGCATGTAAAATAACATATTATGGAAAGGCCTTGAGCCTCGCGGGGGGCAGCGGTTGAGGGGGAACTGCGTAGCTGCGACTCTGCGGCCAAAATGGCGACGCGTTGGCATTTTCATTAAGTTTGGCACCATTTTTTTGTTTCTTTTTTGTTGTTGTTGTTGCTGTCCTCTTGCCATCTTTTTGGTGCTCTGTTCTCTTTCCTCCTTGCACATTCTTGTCGCGCTGAGAGACAGCAGGCAGCTTGGTACGTGACCGTAAGCAATTTACAGTGTTGTAGCAGGCAACTGCCTAGCCCTCTGTCCGTCTCCCTCTCCCACAGCAGTGTTGCCGAATCAGCTATTTTGTAGCTAGATCTGGCTACTTTTTAAGGCCGATTGCTACACAAATTTTCAAACAGCTATTAGCTACAAATCTGGCTATTTTCAAATATTACATTTAGCTAAAATACAAGCGAACTTATAACAAAATTGGATTCGATACTTTTTAAATGTAAATGATTTAAATGTACTAAGTTTTGTGTAGAATTAATACTACAACTGAAGAATAGGTAGACTTTCTAATATGTTATGCAAAATTCATTTCTTATCAATTAATCAGAAAATGGGAAATCAGGGTATAATTTTGGATACCACACCCTCTTCGCCGCCATTTTGTAAAAAACGCATTTCAAGTACTAGAGACTTGTGCTTTGGAATGTACACACATTTTAACTATATGATCACGTTTTGAAAGTTTCATTAAGATTGTATGTCTACAAAAGATATGGATTACGCCGACATGGCAAATGTTGCTATGAGTATAGCGCTCCACTCAACTACCTTAAAAAGGCAAATTATAAAAGCGNAAAAAAACAGCACTGTTTTCTTATTTGCTACTTTTTCAGCTATTTTAGAAGAAAGTTGGCTACTTCTAGCTACTTTCAGCCCTTGGTTTTGCTACTTTTACTGAAAAAGTTTCGGCAACACTGCTCCCACAACCGCTTCACACACACAAACTGAACTAGCGGCCACTGCGTAATCGCATCAGAAAAGTGAAATGTCAGCTGTTTTACAGCATCGCCTTTCCATCATCTTCCACGACGAAGTAGAAGTAGAAGCTCTGAGGCAAGGAATGCCAGCTAGTTACAAAAATAGTTTTCTAAACAACGGAATGCACACGGCCGGAATGCAGTGTCCAAGCGGGCAACGGCGAGCGTGATGGCGCGTGATCCAACTACAATTTATGGCACTGCCAGGCCATGCTCAGCTGAGAGTGTGCGAGTGGGACGGCTGGTGTATATGAGAAAATAAAATAGTGCCTGCTCAGCTGAAACCCTATACAGTAGAGTGAGAGGGAGCGACGACGAGAGCGGGAGAGAGCTCCATCACTTACCTGACAAACTCGTTTAATGTGCAAAATGGCGCATAAAACGATTAAAGTGCAAATGCAGCGATATTTTTGTTGCCGTTGCTGCCGAAAGGCAATTAAGACATAAAATGTAAGAGAGAGAGAGAGAGAGAGAGAGAGAGAGAGAGAGAGAGAGACTATTGATACTTTTAACTAATAGCAAAGGTAGAATAATATTTAGAAATCGTTAATGTAAGCGAAATGGAATAGAAATGTATTTCAGTCAAGCAAAATATCTTGAATCTTGTCTTCCATTTGCTCTCACTGAGCTCAGTAGCCATGATATTTGGCAGGCAGGCTACTTAAATACTTAATAGCCTGAATGCGATACTATAAATTACTCTAGGCACTTGCAAATAAACTAGACAATTAAGCCATCGGAGCTAGATCAAACATGGATGTGTTGTAATTATACGCACACACATTCGACTAATGCAGTTGAGTTCCTTCTATGCATAATTCTGCCAGCTAATTCCCATGCATTACTCACATACAACAGTTGAGTGTTAGTGTAAAATTAATTTGCTCATATGGAATATGAGTTAGATCTAAAATTGCATGTGTGTGTGTGAGTGTGTGTGTGTGTGTGGGGCATATTGATGTTGATGTTTCATATGCCAATGGCTTCCGCAACATTTCCCCCGTCGCGCATTCACGCGTAATTACCTCAAACAGCAGCAACTGTAAGAGAAAGAAAGAGCAGTAGTGAGAGTGACAGAGAGAGAGAGAGAGAGAGAGAGAGAGAGAGAGAGAGAGAGAGAGAGAGAGAGAGACAGAAGCTGCAGGCGAAGCAGCAACAGGACTTGGAAGCATTTGGCAAGCGGAACGAAAGCCAAAATGGCGTCGACGCCAAGACATCGTTAAATTAAATCTATTGTTGGCGCATTCAATGTGCATATAAATCATTTATGGCCTTTTCATGCGATGCAGACACGCAGAAAGCAGCACCAGAGGCAGGCAAACTCGCAGAGAGAGGGGGTGTGATGGGGAGAGAGTGTGCGAAATGTAGACATTACAACAATTTATTATTTAATTATCTATGCCGCAAAATTTTCATTCACAGCGCCACAGAAATCCGAACAGCGATAACTCAACCCACAGACAACAACAACAACAATAACAAAGAACAAGAACAATGTGCCGCGGCGGGTTTGGGGTGAAAGAGCCATCCACAGAGCATTTTCATAAAATTTGATTACAGTGAATGCGTAAAGTTTACGACCAAGTAAAGGGAATTAACTCGCAAGTGCAAAACCAACAGACTCTTAAGCCACACACCCACACATCAACACACACGCACACACACACGCACACACACACACATATGTGCCAGCTGGTGTGGTTTCTTAACAGCCTCTCCAGCCACCACCCACGCTCACACAGCCACCGCACATAATAATCCATTAGGAATACAATTTTTGGCCAGCTCTGCGACGACTGATCACAATTTGGTTTTATTAAAGCCTCAAGTTGACGATTATGAAACATGCACACATACATGTGTACATGTACACAATTGTATATCTGTATGGCCAGTGGGTGTGGTCAGCGGGTAAAGAGATTTCCAGTTGATTGCCTCGCATCTTTGGCAATATTAAATTCAACGAACTGTTGCGTTTTTTTCTTTCATTTTTCGGGCAAGTTTTTAGCCGGGCTTTGATTGATGGCTGACGGGTTGAGCCAAAGGGGTGTGGGCGAACCTGGAGCTCGAAACTCTGCACAAATGTTGCCACAACAAAAGTGCAAAGCCAAAATAAACAACTAGCTGCTGTTGCTGCTGCTTTCCTTTTGGCCATAACTCGGATGGGCCAAGAAATTTCGCTTGCTGTTGCTTGAACGAAAGTTTCGACCCAAAAAATCAAAGCCTCGAGTGACTGATTGGTCTAGGCAGGAGCAGCATGATATAATAACTGAAGACGAAGAAGAAGAAAGCAGAAAAAGCTATGAGCTACATTCACAAGTAATTGAGTAGCTGTTGGAAGAGAGAGAGAGAGAGAGGGAGAGAGAGAGAGAGAGCGAGTACTTCACTCTGTTACTAAAGGCCAACAAGTTGACGGACTTTTGCATATTTGATTCAATTTGACTGCAGAGTTCATTAAATTTCAACACGAATTTGTATGAACATCGATCATTCAACGAAAAATGTGTCT